TAAGAGTCTATGATTTTAAACAGTTCTTCTGCAGTGGCTCTGGTAGGAACTTCTTTGCAGAAAAGTAATTCCTCCCTCATCTCATCTCCATCAATGAATCTGACATACGTTATCAGTAAGCAGTCTTTGTTACTATCAGTGGCTTCATCCATCTGCAGAGAAAAGCGGCTGTCACGCACCTTATCATGAAGTTGCTCCTCTATGTCCTTTGACATATCATAAATGCGCCTGCAGATGGTATTATTGGACAGAGGAATATTCCGTAGTTTGCTGGCTGCTGCTTTCCAGCTTTACCATGATCCTATCTTTCAGGTCACTACTTCATACTTGGTGCCCAATCTTAGGTGGGGGTGATGATATCTCCCACCTGGCTCCCCCTTGCCATATCATTTGTGCTGCACCTCGTCAATCTCCATCTGTGAAACCAGTTCCTTCTTCTGAAAGTTGGAACACTAAGTTACTCGTTGTTTCACCATCAGTCTGGATGCTGGTTAGGGTTAGGGACCTCTGTGGCCAACAATAAACACCCCTCTAGCTCCGCTGCCAGTCGGTGTCGTTTTCCGCCAATCACCACACAGCTGTCAATCCTGCATCCTCGACCGAAGCTTTTGGCTGAGTCTGTTTGAGTCTGTTTTGTTGGCGAGTGAATGGGCATTAATGAAGAAGAGACTGGGAAGTGCTGCTCTGTGCAGGTTAGCATGTAGCCGAAAGCGCAGGCCACTCCTCTTACCCTGCTTTTTTTTCTAGATGTCTCCTCCGTCTACTAGGCCCCAGATTGAGGATGGTGACAGGACCAGTAGTCCGCTGTATCACTGGTGGAATAAAAAAACAGCTTTGGGGATGTAAAAAGGCAGTACCACAATTCGGCCCTTTCATATTTTATTAAGCCTCAGAGTGGCTTAGCAGACAGTAAAAATATAAATAAGAATGTACACGCTCAATCTAAGATATAACATGCCACCAAATAAAATATCTTTGACTCCGTAATACAAATCCAAATAGTGGGAGGTTTTCCCACAAGCAGAGTGAAAACATGCTTTCCTATTGAGAGCTCTTAAATAATGGCCAATCATTTTTTAAAATGTATTTATACATGTTTTAGGCAGTGTCAGCATTTGAAGAATGGATTACATGTGTCAGTGTAGATTTGCATTACCACAAACAGGACAATGAAAACAGGAAAAATCACACAAACTGCCATTTCTCATTACATAACTTCAGCAACAGCAAATTAATTATATTTAATACAAAAAAATGCTGTCAGAAATCCCCGAAAGTGCAATCAAACTAGGCCAAGTAAATGCCATCCAGAGCAACAAAGCCAGTGGATGTCTTGATTGTAGGATCCAAGGGTTCAAGTAACTGTGGCTCTGTGCATAAAAAACATAATTCCCCTGTTATTTCTGCAATATTCTTCTTACTATCCAGAGATAGAGCTATCTGTGTACCTGGGTACTAAGGTGCACCTTCAGCCTGTTCATTCCTTTATTTTTAAAGGCATCAAAAAGGCTGCCAGGAAAGCCAGCACACACTAGTGTCTCTATACATTACATCCTCTCATGTTTTAAATTTATCTGTGTGTCATGGTCCTGGGTCGGTGACCCAGTGCTTTAAGTTGATTATTATCATTTTTCTAGTTTATTCTGATTTCGTATTTGTTCTTAGGGTTTGAGTTGTGTGTTTCTATCATCCCTACCTGTGTCTCTCCTCTGTGTTCTGTTCGTGTCCCCAGTTGGTTGTGTAAAACAGTCTGTGTGTTTCCTGTTTTACTTTGTAGGTTTGTGTCTCGTTATGTCCATTAGTTCCAGCTGTGTCCCCGCCTGTCTGCCATTTCCTAATTACCTGGTGTGTGTATTTATACAGCGTGTCTGCCTGTGCTCCTCATCGCGTCGTCTGTGTTCATTCCCTATGTTTCTCTACATCTCCCTGTTCTGAGTTTCTCCCGCTGACCTTATGTTCCAGGTTTGTTTGTTAGTTTCACCCAGTTTAGGTTTATGTTCAGTCCTGCCCTCACTTCTGTTATTTTCACTGTAAATAAACCTCCACTCGCATCTCCATCATCGTCTGCATCTTGGGTCCTCATTTATTCATCACACGACTGCTGCCCCAGTCGTGACACTGTGAACTATGTGAAGCTTCAAAATCTCAACAAAAGACAGTTAAGGAATTGCAATAGAAGACATTTGCATTGTGTAGTAAATTTCTTGAGTACCACTTTAAATTGGGTCTTTTTTCAGTGGTACATTTTAAATTTGCTGAAGAGACAGTGCTTGGCATAATATTTATAAATCCTGTCCAGCGCTGCCTTAATAATACAATAAATACAATCCCTTACTAAGGTTGCTATAGCTCAGGCTATAGAGCAGATCATCTACTAATCAAATGGTTGCTACCACTCATATGTGGTATGAGTAGTTTTTTCATGTTATGTACATACTAATATATATTCTTCTGACAGTTTTAAGTTGCAGTTTCTTTACTTTTGATTTAGGCTGCTCCTCTGTTTTGTTTTTTTTCTTAATGTAAAGAAATGGTTAAAAGTTCTACTGGCCAAGTCTAAGCTTATTACTGCATGGTGTTTTACAGATGCTTACACAGATGAAGACTTGATGCTGTACTGGAAGAGCGGAGATGAGTCCCTCAGCATTGATGATCGTATCTCCTTATCACAGTTTCTTATTCAGAAGTTTCATACCACATCTCGCTTGGCCTTCTATAGCAGCACAGGTATAAACACTTAACAAAAAATCACAAGTTCTTGATGCTTTTTAAATCATGTTTTTGTGTATCTATACAGGCTTGCACTTACTGGGTACAGTCAACATATAACCTTTCCTTTAATTCCACCCTTAGGATAAATTCTGACCTTTTATATTGGCTGCTATGCCAGCATGGTTTTAAGGGGGAGGTTTTCAAAGAATCTGAAATCCTCAAATAGTCAAACTGAGCCTAAGTTAAACTCACTGAAAATGAAATAATTTATAACAGTAAATAATGAAAAGTAGAAACAACAACTTTAAGTTTACAGAGGTAGAAAGACATCATGGAATTAGCCGGTAATAACAAGTCAAATACAACTGTGAATCTGGTGGGACCAAAACCAAGTCTGGACCACTACATGGAGTACAAATTATTATCATATCTTCATGTTTTTATGTTTCTTTATTTCATGCTTATCTAAATAAGCATGTGGTTAGCCCTGCTAAGCCAGGTCTCAGTAAGCACGAGTAAACAACTGTCTTTCACTTCTCATGTTGATGTTACATCCTGTCTGAGATGGTTCCGTTTATTTTCCAGTGAGTGGACGTTTGCTTTGTTTAGTATTGCAATTCTTCTTGATACTTCGGAAATTAATGACATGATGAAAAGCATAAACGAGTGTCTGAATAGCCTTGCAGGCCCGGTATCTTACCAGTGACACCTGTTATGGCAGGTTACCCTCTAAATTGGTGCACTGGGTTAAATTTTAGGGCCTGGACAGTAGAGCTCAACGTTCTGTTACTTTCAAAGGGCTGGAGTAACCTGTAAGACCTATTTATACCAAAAGGATTAATACTCAGATTTATACCTTTACTGTTTCACAAACGATTAAAAATGACTTTAATTACAGGATATCAAATTGAAACAATTTAGCAGGAGCAAAGCAAAAGCAGAATCAAATAATAAAAGCAATCACAAGTCATTGAAATCACTTCATTGCATTTTTTCTTTTCCATGTTATTCTTAATATACTTTTAATAATTACACAGCCTTCAGTCAGCTATGAATGCAATATCTTAATGTTTCATTTGTTTCAGGTAATTCTACTTCAGGTAGATTTGTCATTAATAAATTCTCATATGTACATCCACTTTAACACATATAGAGGAATACTCACTTTTTCTTAATAGAACTTATTTTTATTAAATTATACAATCAGACATTCTTTGGTGGCTCCTCCCCATCCTGCAACACACACACACGCACACACACACACACACACACACACACACACACACACACACACACACACACCTCCTGAGGCTGTTTCTACACAGCCTCTCAGTTAGACCTGTCTTGGAATCATTTCATAGGTTGTTGTTGTTGTTGGCTTATTTGTTATATTTGTTCAACTTTAAAATACTTGCCAAGGCCGAAGCTTGATCATGTACTGACACAAGATCACTGCTCAAACTACACTTCTCACTTAGCTGTTGAGTTATATCTTTGATTAAGAATAAGGATGATTTACTAAACCACACAAAGAAACTGGATGTTAAGCCTTTTCGTCCTGTCTCAGAGGTGATGAGAGGTAAGTCAGGGGGACTTCAATCTGTCTCTATCCCACCTTTGATTGATTGATTGAATCTTTATTTTGAACATGTTGAAAAAGTACAACAACATAGAATTAAAAGAGACAAATGAACAAAGCAAAACAAAAGGAAAACGAGCAAAAACAACTACAAATAACTTTCATGTTCAAAAAGGAGCAGGAAGAAGCATAAGCTTATTTAATCCCACCCCTTTCCCACTATCTAGTAATCAGTAGAAATACCTCCTTGCAATTACATTATATGTCATGTGTATTTTTTTTTATTATTCATTTTTTTAAAAATATATATACATATATGTTTCTATCTATCCATACATACGCACATATACACATTTTCAATAACCCCATTAACACCTCAAAGGATACACAACCTACAAATATATATATACC